AATAAATTGCCCATAAAATTACATAAATATTATTGCGCTAAATACACTCTTTGAACCCTAAAAAGCTATAAGTTGCCATTCATTCTATTCTTGTTCACGTGACCTAGAGTCAACAAGAGAAGTAACCGAAGCCTTAAATCACCACCAGCCAAATCTAACACATCTCTTTCGAAAGGTTACTTACCCAGGTTACATGAGTTTTTGGATTGTGGAGCAACCGAGTTGCAGTTCTTTTTGGTCATCACAGTGTTTAAAGGATGCTTTATATATAGGTTGATGTGGTTTGTCACATTTAATTTTCTTTCCAGGATAGAAGTCATAAAGATTTTTTTTAAAAAATCTGAAGAGCTGATGAGACAGTTTGGTTTGTAGTTTTTTATTGGATTCTATGTATGCAGTAATGAGGAAGTTTAGAAGCCAATCATATGATAGAATGACTTTGGGTTTATTGGAGAAGGAAGGAGTGTTAGATTAGTTTTGGTTTTGGTCGTTGTTAGTAGTTGGAGGTTGATTATTAATATTGTTATTATTTTGGTTGGTTTTTGGAAAAAGAGTCCTAATTTGTTGTTCTTTAGAATTAATATCTTGGTGTTGATTGTTGATAAGATTACTAGGTTGAGTTTTAGAGATAATGTTAGAGTTACTGGGAGAAGGTATAGGAAAGGCAATTTCCAAATTAAAGTTGTTTAAGTGGAGCTCCGGTAGTGTGGTAAGTGGAAAAAGATTGTTAAGAGGGTTATTTTATTTGGTTTTTGGAGTTTGAGATGGGATAGTTGTAGTATAAAAATCTAGTTGTAGTTGTGATTGTAGGATAATATTAGGTTGTGAGTTGGTTTTTGGAATTGGACTGTTAATTAGAAATAAAGTAATAGAGTTTTTGAATTGTTGTTCATCAGTAAATTTATATGTGTGAAATATTGTGCAAGAATTTGCAATATGCAAAAATAATACAATATTGTACAAAATATTTCAAAAAATTTTGCAAAATCAAAATTTTGAAATATTTCGCACAAAATTTCGCAATAATTCACAAGAAATTTTGAAAACTTTCGAAAACACAAAATTGAAATAATTCGCAAAATATTTCACAATATTTTGCAAATTATTTTAAAATATTTTTTTTAGATAAATATTTGAAATATTGTAAAAAATTTTAGAAATATTTTAAAATTCATCAGAATATTGCAAAAACAAGCTGGATT